CCTTTTCTTTGTGATTATGCATCTTGCCAGTGTTTTTCATTCTTATCTGTGTACTTGCCCTTGCACTGATGGAGACCAACATGTTGGTCGAAACGTTCGCTTGTCCACCATGCTGGTAAAATTGTAAAAACATAACATCCTCTTGCACACTGTTTTTTTTTATTAAAGCATGGCCTGAGTCGCAATCATTGCATATATTTGTAAAATCGGCTAATAGCTCAACTTTTGTTTTCACATTGTGAGTAGCCGAAAACCGAAAAATCTTCACGAAGAGAGGTCATATCTACTTCAAAACGTGTTGAAAATTGTATTTCATGTTACATTATTCCAAAACAACGGACGTCAGATTCGTGTTAGCGTACTTTCTATACACTGCGTTGTCCCCAACACGTACGTTACAGTGTGAGCAAATCGAAAACTGTCCTCATCTCCTGTGTTTTCTCTCCGAGTGTGTGTCTGTGCCCTCCGAGGGACTTTGGAGGGACTGCACTTTGGCAACATGCGGGAGGAGCTTGGTCGGGGAGTTTAGCGACCATGCGCCGGCTTGACACTTGGAACAGGTTGTTAATCCATTATTTGATTGATGATTAATGATCAACAAACTGAAACACCTTTCCTCCAGTCGAACACTCAGTGAGTCAGTGCTTTGCCCTCTACCCCACTGCACTCCTTTTACCGAGGCTTTCGCTTTGGGCCCCAACTTTCGCTTGGAATCCACGCTCTCTTAACGAGCTCCCTCCCTTCTAGCTTGAAAATGCATATGCATCGTGCATTATGAACAAAGACATAAAGACGGAGCGGTAAAAGCAAAAAATGAAGCTTCTTTTCAATCACCTCTACTTACTATTGGCTAGAGGATTGGCGGCGAAATCGGGACAGGTTTAAAATTCAAATGCAGGGCGGTAATTAAATACAATTGCGGAAACAAAGTATTTTAGGTTGATTTTTGCCCAAATTCAGTTACATACTCATATTTTTTTTAACTTTAGGTTAGTTTTGGTCCGTCGTCGACCGATTACTTTCATTTGAGAGTAACGGTCATCAAGGACTGTAACGGCCTGTTTGAACCGGCAGAACCATCATGAGCAGAAGAATAACTAACTTTATCTCAGATTCTGCCTGTTACCGAGAAAAAGTAAGTGTATTATAAAAAGTCGCAGTTCCAACTTTCTTAAAATATTCGTTTTAGGCATTTAAAATTCGTTTCGAAGAAGAAATGTGGAAAAATCAAGAGGACACGTTCAAATCAAATTTCCGTTTGCCACCATGGATTCCCGCGCTCATTTACCCTCTCACACAAGCACCCAGCGCCAAACTAGGCTTCACTTTTTCCCCGTGCTTTTAGATACGAGCCCTCCGTCTTTATGTCTTTGATTATGAAAAATTTCTTCCTCAATCAAAAGGAACATAGACTTCGAGGTTATACTTTAAAAATAAAATCAAGGACTTCCGAAAGAATGAAAAGTAGCGATAGGGATGTTTGAGTAGACTCTTCAAGGACTTTGGAAACAAATGAAATGAAATTTCAAGAATGTGCACATATATTTCAGAGGTATCTAGGAGCAGGTCGGGAGTACAAAGCGCGTGGGTGCGACTAAATTGTGGGCATGACATGAAAATTGTAGAAGCTAGAGAGTGTTGGTTTCTGTCTACGATATAACTCGTCATTACCTGGAAGAAGATGTACGTAACTTCATTCCGAGTTGAAAAATTTACTCAAGAAATTAAATTTTTCTCTCTTAACTTTTAGACTCTGATTGATTTCATTTCCTGCCATATTCGTCATTTTCCTTGACATTTTCAGGTTTCCTCTAACTTCCCAAAATTCCCTGACATTTCCCGGTAATCCCTGACTGTGGCAACCCTGAACAACATTGCAATGCTGGTGATTCTCTACTGCAAAATGTATCCGAAGTGCATTTGGCACATGCTCGAATAAAATGAACAAGGTTCAAGCGGAATGCGCTGGGGCATTTTACGGAAGCTACAGAGAGCTGAATGGAGCCATGTGCTGCAATTGAATCGTAGCTCATAAAACTCTCCCCGTTCAGCTCGTTCTGGACAGCGTCGCGCGGGATATTGATGAGCTGCGAACGGAACGAGGATTCTGCTCAACTTCTTCTAACGTATTCCCCACCTCACGCTGCAAGTGCTGGAACCCTTATAAATAAATTATAGAAGACACTGAGTCCTGTAGAAATCCTCAGGATCCGAAAAATGGCGGAGATCGTATTTGATACATCGAACAGATGAGATTGTATCGATATCGGTTGGTTCAACATGTAAATATAGTCTCAAAAGTCGACTTATAAATCTGAGGGAACGGGTCTTCGTATGATAGATTTTCAAATTTTTTGAGAACCAAATGCTACCGAAAAGTGAAAATGTTCAGGGTGTCTACTAAAACAGGCTGGCCAAAAATCAATACTTTTACGGTACTTTTTCAGTACATTCCCAATAAAATTCAGTACCTCTTCAACAGAGAAATTCAGTACTTTTTTAGTACCTTCATTTGACGAAATTCGAAAAATTTCAGAAATTTTAATTTCTCGCTCAAATTGGGATCTCCTTAAATTGCGGAGTGTCCGCACTTTTTCAGTACTTCCGGACCGCCCTTAACAAATCACTACTATTTCCGGACTTTCCGGAAATTCCGGACTTGTAGACACCCTGAATGTTCGGAATTTTCTAATTTTCAGCTTTTCCGACTTAAATCCTTAAATTTTTGTTTGAGGTCATGTTCTATTGTTTTGAACCAAACGATACATCGAACCACTATCGAATACGGTCTATTCGTAATATGTGAGGGGATGGAGTCAACCTACGTCGTTCATCACCTGCCGTCAGAAAGGTTCAAATTGAATTTGTTTTCAAAAGTAATATACAATTCATAATCCCCAACCCTTCACTATTTGAATTTATTTCAATGAAAAAGAACAACAACAGTTTTGTGACATGACGACGCGACGGTGTAAGTGTGCAACCACGTATATTGTTTGCGGTGTTTGAAAATCTCCGTCCTTGTTTTAATTCTTGAAAAGAGAGCAAATAGACAATATTCCTTGAAATTTTCGCAGAATTTTCTTCGCACGGAGAAGAAAAATCACGGCACTTTATACAAATTGCCGTTGAGGAGTATTTTATTAAAAGAATTGAGTATGAAAGGAAGTCAGCAACGTCGCAAACCGACATAAATGGTTGCGGACTTACATCGTCGATGAACCCTGTCATGTATGTATTCTTAGGGATCTCAGGGCTCATGTCAGAATAGATGTGGTTCCTTTTGACTGACAGAGTCCATTTTTTACCTCGTTAGAAATAATATAGACATTTGAAGTAAGACTGATCAAAGGAGGCAATTAAAAAAACCTAATCGTTACTTTTGTTTTTATAAATACAAAAGAAATGGAAGGAGAACCGTTCCTTTCCTGAAACGAAGACCAGCTGTGGCGAATGGCGATTGCAGTTTCATAAAGCGGAAAGTCACACTCTAGAGTTGCAACTATTCGAGTGTTCTACTGAGCAAACTGCAAACTGAATCCGCAGTTTTTCCGCATTCCTCGACAGCTGCAAGTTACCGGATAAATGGGGATGTGTACATAACGGCGAAAATTGGAAAAAACCGAATGACGTAATAAACTCATCCCATTTCTGCGTTCTCATTCAAAGCATATACACTCTGCTGTTGTAAAGTAGGATGGATGCCATTTCAGCCATGGTTGAAGAAATTTTGGAACTGTAGTTCCTATTTTTCAGCGTTGGTACTTAAGTAAAAAATAGGTGAGCCGAAAGGAAAATATTACATAAGGAGCTATCGGTGGCGATTCTTGTTAAGTTGGCAACACCGCTCTCCCTCCATCTTTGCATTTGTCTGCTAAACAATAGATTGTATGCGAAACAACCTGCCTCATCTACACAATCGACATTTATAATGGATTTAAATGGAGAAATAACAGTGTCGCCACCTAAAGAGAATCGCAACTGGGTACTGTTGGAACGCCTTAAGCAGAAAGGAACCAAGTCACATCAGCCATTGCCAACTTTAACTGAGTAATTTAATTTTTGAGCAAATTTCAGTGAATTTTCTGCGCAAGACAAAGCAAATTCCTTGAAATTTCCAAAGGAATCGGCACAAAAGTTTCTCTGGTAAAGAATTAGAATTGCCCAGTTAAATTTGCAATAGCTGATGTGGCTTGGTTCCTTTCTGCTTAGCGCGGTCCATTTAAGGGTGAGTCTCAGACAGAGAGGTCGGCTAGGTCCAACCCGTATCCTCCAAGAAATAAAGCTTTAAGAGTTTTGAAAAAATTCTTGAAAGAAAAACGTGGGCAATGTGTCATTTTTTGTTTTGAAATTGTTTCAATCCACTTTGTGTTAAATGGTCAGCACAATACCAATCCACACATGTAAGTCATTGCGAATCTTTTTGAAATCCACCCCCCCCCCCCGCATTCACTCGACCGCAACCAGTGTAACGTCACATTGCGGCTGCTCCAGTAATCCCAAGAGAAATTAATTGCTTTAAATTTCCCACCGCAATGTGCGGTAGGGCCTCGAAAATCGTCTACATGGAATGACTGACCTGTGTGGATTGATTTTGGTCTTAAGCGTCTAACTAAACCAAAAACTTCATGTCTGTTAGAATAAAAATCGATAGACGCTGAAATGACCCTGAACTAAAGATGTTTTTTTCATAGTAAGAATCGAAAAACTTACGTGTTGCGCACCCTATATACAATTATACAGACTTGCGGTAACCCCCGAAAAACGAATGATTTAATTCTTTCTCTTGCTCTCTCTTCAAGTATCAACACGATGTAATCAAATGATAAATTATTAGTACATTGTTCAAAAAGATGAGAGAACAGGGGCAGGGGAGGGGGGGATTATCCAGGGACAACGCAGGCTCCGGAAAAAATGGATTCCGAGATTTCTAACAGTGTCATACGAGCGAAAAGCAAGTGCACTCGTCTTAGGGCTGTAGAAGATATTGAAAGGCTTACCTCGGCAAAAAATTCATCCATGAAACCATCCTTTCCTTCCACGTTGACGGCCACATCATCGGAGCCCGCTTCATCGTCATCACTTTGGGCCTGAAACCAACAAAAGGAAATGGTCATAAATGGGCAAAATAAAAGTACAGGAGGGCAAATCTGCCATGCTAAGGAAGAACGCCGTATGAACATTCTAGACTTGCTAAATTTCCCTAGATAAAACATGTATTTTTGACGACATTCATATACATTTTTCTTTGAAATTTTTAGACATTTTAGATTAAATTGCGTACAAAATTGTCTAAAAATTTCGGGAGAAAATATTCACAAGTTTACCAGGAAATTCGTATTTTATGTAAGGAAATTTGGCAACGCCTGAAGGTTCATACGGCGTTTATCCTTAGCAAAGCAGAAATCACGATTGACACTATGCTGCCGTGCTAGGGAAGAGCGTCGTATGAGCCTTCAGACGTTGCCGTCTTTCCTCGAATAAAAATCAAATTTTCCGCAAAAATTTAGAATGATTTTTTTTCAAACTTTTCAGTCAATTTTGTTCACGATTTAATCTAAAATATCTGAAAATTTTAAGGAAAAATATGCTCAACTTTCCTCTGAAATACATGTTTTATGCGGGGACAGTTGGCAACTCTCGAATGTTCATACGGCGTTTTTCCTTAGCATGGCAGTATGGGAAAAAACAAATGTGAAAAAACTCAGCATCAATTAGAGAAATGCAAGCTAACTGCCTTGCTTAAAAGATTGAAGGATACAGGAATCACATACTATTGTTAATAGTGTCAACACAATGCTGATAATAACGGCCTTCTAAAAACGATCATAGTACGAACTGAAATGAAGAATGATAGCAATCATTACGAAAAAACACTGAGAGTAAAAGATGAAGGTGGAAAAAAAAATTCTCATTACCTTGACAAGTGTGTAGTGAAATTTATGACTTCGGTCTTTGACCATATCAGAAGGTATTGCTTATTTAGGTGCTTATTCAATAAGGTATTTGTGTACTAGTATAATGACGATTTGACGCGGAACAAGAACGACATTACGCGCACAACTTTGGTGACCTTAAAAAAAACTTTAAAAAAAGTACGAGTTGAGATTATTTTGGTCAGAAGTACAAGAAATGCCGTTTTGAAAAAAATGAGCCTCGTGGAAACTGTGCGGGCAAAAATGATAATTATGATGTTCAAGCCTTCATCAGAATTGGAATATATGAGTTCGGTCGTTGATTAAATATAGCGAAATGTATTAATTATTTAGGTGCTTAATTGAAAAGGTACCTGGGTACCAGTATAATGTTGATGCAATATACATCAGGAATAGTTGCGCCGGTTTCCTATTTGCGTGCGATTTTTGCCATGAACCGAACACAAATGAAAGTAGCGGGCTACTGATTTTCATGTCATTCAGCGTATCCACTTCAGCGTCGACAAATATCGGAGGATGCCTAAATTATTAAATTTTAGAGAAAAATGGGTTTGACATTTTTTATCACTGACAGATGTTCAATATGATCACTCGCGCTGAAGTAAAAATGAAAATAAATAGTGGAGGAAAATCTGCACGTTTATAGGGCTGAAGTTGGTCGGCAGGCCATTTCAGAAATTATAGCCAAATGCAACGATTTTCTTTGCTTAGCGCCACCAGCTGTGGCTAAATGAAGGATACCTCCCCAGAGTAACTGTGCCATATCACGACACCACTATTCGACCACGAGGGAACTTGTGTTGCCTACACTAAAAATTGAAGGCAGACTGACGTGGCGTTAAAGTCACCGCTTCGCATTTGGCAAAGGTCTATTTTTTGTGAAAACTCCGAGTAACTGCCACTTCCAGATGGCATAACAATGCCATTTCACGATGATATAGAGTTACAACGAGTTTATTGGCACATTAAAACAAATGTCAAACTCGCCGTTCAAAATGGTTTGTGATTTTCAATATTTTTTCTATTAAATAAATTATGTCACTCTTCCTAATCGGGAAAAAAGTCCAAGGCTAAGGAGTTTCTGGTGGTTTAGTCACAATTCAAGGATATTCTACGACTTGTCAAGCGTCACGAATTGGGCACTTTCCGAAACCTCATTCAATGGACCATGGACCACTAGACAAGGTACGAATATCAGCATTCTGATACATGTTTCGTAACTAAAATTCCACGTGGAACACGCTGCGCAAAACGGAAATTACCGAAATCAACTTCCTCCGAAGATATTTAATGATTCTGGATGTGTGAATTGAAACCACCCGCTCATGAAAACTCAGAACTCTACGTGATTCACATCGCGCGCTAAACGTTATCATAACAGTCACTGCGATATGAAAATCTGGCAACCTCAATCTTGACGCTTTGGCTCAGCTATAGCGAATTACTTATAGTTTGAAAAACACCTGGTGGGAAATGAACATTGCTCGATTGAGAAGTTTGCTGAAACCGTTGTTGTGCGCGACTTGACTCACGTAGAGCTTTGAGTTTCTTGTGAGCGGGCAGTTCAAATTCCTCGTAACTGATGTGAAATAAAAATGTTAATACCTCCGTTAGGAGTTGGTTTCAGTAATTTTCGTTGCGCGAATCGTGTTTTACTTGAAATTTTAGTTAAGATACAAGTATCAGAATGCTTAAATTCATACCTTGTCTAGTGGTCCATTGTGGCGAGAAAACCACTAAGTGTGTGCACTTGTGAGGTTTTTCGCGTGTAGCCCAGAGCCAGGTACGTTCGTCTTGCATTTCCCTTCATTTTTCACTTGAACCAACAGTCTCGTTGCCGGCTCTACATCACTTGTCATTCGAGTGGGAAACAAGCACAATTGCACGTACCGAGATGACGCGGCTCCTTTCCACGCTTGATTACACTTGCAGCTGTCGCTATTATTTACTTGGGGCTTCTGAGTGAATGAGACTATAGACGGACCGCAGGACCACGGAATTTTTCTCTTTTAGACGTGTAAGAGGAGATGAGCGCCAACTAAGGACAACATATTTTTCGTTTCTCTATTACGAAAATGTCGAGCCCTCAACATCGCGCGTGTGTGGGAGCCGAAACCTAACCCTGAAGGAAGTATACTTGAAGGCTACGTGAATCGTGAATTCTAAAAAAAAAAATACTCTTGATGCAATCGGATTTTGCTTAAATCAAGAACCAAGCCTCTTAATTTGAGAGGATTTCCTTTTGATTTAAGCTTAAATCTGATTGAATCAAGAGTATTTTTTCTTGTCAATGTTTTCAAGAGTCTGGACTCTAGATCCAATGTGGTTTTTTTTCCAGTGCGTGTCTCTCATGCCTGACTAAATTCAGTAAATGAGAAAGAAATTCAAGTGACAGCTGTTATGAGATTGCCCTTCGATATGGGCCAGCAGTTGTGAGCAGTACGGTCCTCTAAAAATGACCATAACTCAATCGATGGAGACTTTTATTGAAAGTTTCCAGGGAGAAAAAACCCAGGGTTGATGACCGATTTTCTCGAACAAAATCAAGGACTTTCGAAGAGAGGTTTCGAGTGTCTTCTAGAGACTCCAATAAAAATTCCTGCTGAGCTCAGAAGTGTACTAAAAAAATACAAATAAATAATGAGTGAAAAAATTCCTGTGTAAGTGTGTAAAGAATGCCTTTAGAGTAGGAATTTCATCCTCTTGGTGCATCTAATCACTGGAACTGATGCATAAAAACGATCGAATATGCGACAAACGCGCGACGTTAGTAGAATCACAGAATCCTCCAAAATAAGAGAGAAAATAGACTGTCTTGCTCTTGCCGAACGGCTTAGGAGGTCACAACCGGAGGCTTTGGAGTCCGAGTGTTTTCATGAGCATTTGGGCAATTTCCCAAGACTCACTGATACCTATTATTTTGAGGGCTGTAAAAATTAAACAAAACTAAAAAGAAATGATAAAAGTCATTGAGACGATAAAACCTGCAACCGCGACATTCCGCAGTAAAGTTGGTACGATAAAAAAAACAAGTTGCTCATTTTTTGGACCCCTGTTCGCAGCGATAAAAACATTTCGACAAAAATATACGCTCATCTCACGATAGGGGGAAAATTCCGAAAAAACACAAGCTGATCAGAAAAGCAACTGCACCTTTCCTTTAATTGAACTAAGCCACTAAAAGAAGGGTGTATCCGTTTTCCAGCATGAACTTCGAGACTCCTACGAATTTAACCGCGACAGAGCTCATACGCATACTTCCATACGACATTAATACGTCCAGTTATATGGTACAGACGTCTATGATGTCGACTTCGTGTAAACACAAACACAGACGTGCACGTAATTGCCAAGTTTAATACGGCAAATTTTCTCGTTTCGCAAGTTTCGGACGGCACTATTAACATTTTTCAGGGACTACGTATCTAGCCGAGAATTTCTTATACAAGAATCAAACATCGAGTCGTAAGCCAACTCAACTGAACAATATTATGAACTTGAATGCAATAGTAGTGGCAATATTCAATGAGAGACGAAAAAAGATGAGAGAAATATTGTGAATCATTAACAGCAGAGACTACGAGACGGCTTGTAGTTCAAAATTTGTAGAGTCTCGAACTCGACTTTAAACGAAAAAACAATAAAAAAAAAAGTAGTCATGATAGGTAATTTTTTTGTTCACATTGCTTATTTATTATTAAGAACCTAACAGACAATGATGTCGAAGTGTTCGCTTCATTTTGTCTCGGTAATATAAGCAATTAAAAACTTCAGAGACTGGTCGTTCTCGAGCTGATCGAAACGCACCAATATATTGACTTTAGAAGCAGAAGGAAAGAAAACGACTGAGAGAGTGTGTGATTTTCTGCGCGGTGCGGAAAGAGGAAAAACTCCTTCAATTGACAGGGTAGGCAAAACGCGCTCCCAGGAGCTGAAATAGTGGTATTAAGGTGCTACTTAGCTTACAGTTTGAGTGTCTATCGACTAATGGACACTTCACAACCATGTTTCTTGGGATTTTTAGCCTCTAAGGGACCTTTTCTTCAGTCGATTGGCTAAACATCTCCAGCTCATCAACTGGACAAATGGCGATGGAATTCCGGCTTTGAAAAGCATGCAGAAGGTGAACCCGATTGCCTCGAATGAGGGAGGAC